TCTGGATATGTTTGGAGGTTTATTTGAGGAGGGTGTTGGATGGTATGGGCCATAGAGGATGCTATTGCAGGCCCCTAGTCGAGTCGTGAAGTGATTGAATGCATGTAATTCAGGATTTCAGGCTAGCAGAGTGGAGAGAGTGATGGGGCAGCACCGGGTCCAATAGTTTTTGAGGCTGCGGAAAAAGGCGCCGTCCTGGCTGATGCTGATTTATGTGGTGGATTGAATTGAGCTGGACTTCGAAAATGACTGAGGTTGCGGATGCTGAGGAGATTAAGTGTGGCTGTCAATTGAAGTTGAAATTCTGGGATGTCTTTGATACGGGGATGGCCGATGGATGGATAGATGGGTTGATGGACAACTGTTCAGTTGGAGCATAGGCTTGTTTGCATCCATTCTTTTATTTCTGAGAGACAGTGATGAGAGTGGAGTGTGTGTGGGGATTTGTGTTGATGGTTTTGGTTGATGATATAAAGTGTTGTGGCAGTGTCATCGGTCGGTGCAGTGAAATAAGGTTGTGGCGATGCATCTGTTTTACAGGGGTGTTTTGCCACAGACTCGAACCAGCAGTGTTAGGGAAAGCAACATGGTTGGGAGAGAAACTGCAGTTGTAGTAGCACACACTGTAAACTCCAACAGTACTATCTAACTCATAAGTATTATGGGCTTACTGCCAATCAAAACAAATATCAAGTCAAACCACGAACAATGAATAAACTGGTGAACGTACGTTTCTTTTAAACGAAAGTGCCCTGGTTTAATTGTATGGTGGATCATTGGTTTATGAGTAAATGATTCAAATTGAATTATACTTCTGAGTGAACGTGTCACGCCAGCGGTTGACGTCATTACGTCATGACGTGTGCGGACGCAATCGCAGAAAATCCATGCCAAACATGGCAGCGCTCTTGCAAGTGAAGCGGATTCCACACATGGTGTTATCTGCTTGTAGGTATCAATAATAATCGTTTAAAACTGTTTTTCTTGTTATAAATGATTTGTAAGGATATAACCACCCGAAGATCATATGTGAATAGTAGACCCCATTGTTAAATTCCAGAGTTACGTGCACAGCGCCCGGCCAGATACGGCCTGCTTTGCGGCTTGATTTTTTTTAATGGCTCGGGACTGCCGCCGCTTAAAGAGCTTATGACACGGGTTTCACCCATCATCCAAACCATATTTTAGCTAAATATTGGTCCCCTTGAAACCGCTTTACTGAACTGAAGTTCTGGATATTGTACTTTGATAGGGCACGCCATTCATCTCGCCCCTTCAATGTTGACCATATTCTGGATCTTTCTTGTGGGATTCTTCAAATCCCGCGCAAATTATGTGTGACGTAACTGCGAGCCAAGAGCTCCAGCTGCACAATTCTGGATCCCAGCATCTGCATGCAAAGCGCCGAGTCCGCACACAGCTGCAAGCTCAGACAGCAATGACAGTTACGTCCACACACTAATTTGGGGGATTTGAAGAATCCCCAAGATAGATCCAGATGATGGTCAACATTGAAGGGGAGATGAATCGTTACTCAACGAGTACAAATATCCAAAATTAGTTCAGTAACGGCTTTCAAGGGGACAATATTTACTAAAATTTGATGGGTTTGGATGATGGGTGTAAACCGTGTCATAGCTCTTTTAACCGCAGTCCGACATTAAAAAAATAGCGCAAAGCAGCCGGTATCTGCGGCGGCTGTGCACGACTCTGAATTTACAATGGGGTCTAGAACGATCACATATGATCTTCGGGTGGTATATCCTTACAATATTATAACAAGAAAAACAGTTTTAACGAATTATTTTGATACACTACAAGTTAAACCATGTGTGGAACCCTTCACTTGCAAGAGCCGCTCATGTTGGATGGATTCGTTCTCTCGATTTCGTCGCAACGTCATGAGCGTAATGACGTCAGACGCTGCGTACTGTGTCACTCGGAAGTTATATTCAAATTTGAATTTATTTTACTATTAATCATTGATTCCACATACAAATAGTATCTTGTATATATGAATGATATATGTGTGGATCTATTGGTTGTATGTCTCTTATCAATATACTATATGTAGTACTGTGAGTTTACTGTGGTGTACTTAAATTGCATGTACTGTTGCTTTCCTCTGTTGTCTGTTGTGTTAACCTGTAATAATGTCTGTCACATTGCTACGTCTCCTCTGTAACATCCTATTTCTTTATTCTTCTTCTCCCTACTCTCTACTGTTCTCAGTAATTATGTTATGGATTGTCTAATGTTTATCTCTGTATTCTTCTTATGTGTTCCATTGATTTCTGTCACCATCGCCTCCCCCCTCCCGTCATGTCATTTGACAGTCTTCTGAATTCTCAACTCTGACTTTGTTTATTGTTTCTATTCCTCTCTCTAATGTAAACATGATGAATTATACCTCGGATAATACCTCGGAGTCATTTTCGACAGTCAGCTCAAATTCAACCACCACATAAATCACATCACCAGGACCGCCTTTTTCCACCTCAAAAACATTGCCCGTCTCCGCCCATCACTCTCCTCCTCTGCTGCTGAAATCCTGATTCATGCATTCATCACTTCACGACTCGACTACTGCAATAGCATCCTCTATGGCATACCATCCAACCTCCTCAATAAACTCCAACATATCCAGAACTCTGCCTGCCCGCCTCCTCACCCACACCCGCTCCCGAGACCACATCACTCCCATCCTCCAGAACCTCCACTGGCTCCCCGTCCGTCAAAGAATCCACTTCAAAGTCCTCCTCATAACTTACAAAGCCCTCAACAACCAGGCCCCCCCCTACCTCACAGACCTGCTGCACCACCACACCCCTTCCCGCTGCCTCCGCTCATCAGAAGCCAACCTCCTATCCATCCCCACCCGCACCAATCACCGGACCTGGGGGGACAGAGCCTTCTCCGTCGCTGCCCCCTCCCTCTGGAACTCACTCCCACAACCCATCAGAGACTGCACCGACCTCACCACCTTCAAAAAACTCACAAAAACTCACCTCTTCAATCTGGTTTTTCATGTGTGATTGTTTTTGTATTATTTGACTTTAACTTTAACTATATATTTATTTGTTGTTCCTTTCTTCTCTTTTCTTTCTTTCTTCACTATTATCTGTAAAGCGTCTTTGAGCACCTGTAAAAGCGCTAACAAATTAAATCTATTATTATTATTATTATTATAATTGACATAGAGCTGTTGAGGGCCGGACCATTAATGAGAGTGTGAAGTCTGGTGCAGTTTGGACGATTTTCCATTGACTTACAACAACATCGTATTTTTTTGGCAAAGGATGCGTTGCCATGGAAACGGCATACTCTGAGATCTCAGATTTCATGTAGAGCTGTTGAGGCATGGACCGGTGATATAAAAGCAAAGATTGGGGGACGATGGGACCGTGCCCATTGGAGTTACAGCAACACCGTGTTTTATGGCGAAGGATCCGTTGCCATGGTAACGCCATATTAAGTAACATCAGATTTGACATAGAGCTGTTCAGGGCCGTAGTGTTAACCATCATGTGAAGTTTGGTGGCGTTCTGAGTATGTCAGTTTGAGTTATGACATCATCGTGTTCCATGGCGAGGGATCGTCTAGCATCGAGC